CTCGCTATCTCTATATATGATGATGTGACTGTTTTCTCTTTAGTGTGCCAAATCGGAGCATGTAGGTGACAATGAGTGCGTTAAGCGTAGCTGAGACATGTATAAAGTGTGTACATTCTTAGCATGAGTTCTGGACATATATTGTAGCGACGAAGCCGGCAAAATCAAATTCCTCACTTTCCAGTGGTGCCGGTGTAATCGCTCAGTAAGCTCTACATATCTGGGATAGCCAAAAAGAATTGCATCCGAATCGAAGTCGAAAGTAAACATAGACACATCTACAATCAACGACTTCTCATAAATGTCGGTCTTATCATTCTCACGAAAGTCTTCTACCTCAGCCTCACTATAAACCACCTCGCCTCAACGACTGATAAAGGCGTTACTCCAATTACAAACAGGAGCTAGCCTCATTTTTTTACCTGCAAACTCAAACTACAAGTTTAGGACGCTACGTATACCCGCAAGGAGGAAATTGAGTCACAATATACAAAGCCCGAGTCATAGTTTATGTGAGACTGTTACTCTAATGGGGTTATACATCTTGAGGAGGGACGGGTAGCTGAGATGTGGAGCGAAAGGATAACAGGTCTTTCAAGACCAAGCTGGGACTGACATTTTCCAGTGGTTTTCAACATTGGAACGTTTGCGGGCGCGGAGACCGAGATTTTGGTTAGCTTATAAGGATGAATTCTATAATAGATGAATCTACGGCACTCCCCAGTTACCTGAACGGTACAAAAGAAGTTGGGCTAAGCTACTATACAGCAATCACGCTCGGTCAAGACTTCTCCAACATTTTAGCACGACCTTCGGGAAGGAGTTGGAAGGAGGCTAGAAAGGTAGAGGCTGAATTTCCCGAGGTACACACAAGTCTGCAGCGGCCAGCTAGCTGGTCTCTTCGAATGCTTCAGGAGGATCACTATGTCTTCGGATTTAGTCCTAATGTCGGTATTAGAAGAGCCCCGCACCTAGTGGTTTTTGCGATTTTTCTCGGCTGCCAGACACCCGCAAATAGCCATCGCTTCGTTGGCTGGAGAGGGGAGATAATGAAGGGCAAAGGGCTCCTCTAAGTGTATGATCGAATGAGAGCTTGTGAGGGGAGCTGTATGGGAGGCATAGGAGGGGATATACTACTGGTATAGGTATCCTTGACCTGTAGGCAGAGAGGGCCTGCGTGTCCTACATAATCGTAGGCTCAGAAAGGACATTAAAATGAATTAATAATAATACCAAGAGACCATTTTTCACGAAAAGCTGCGCTGCACTCCTCGCTGCTCTGTCTGGGGAGACACTCGCCCCCGGTCCTTGCGGTGATCATGACATGGCACGTGCTTGAATGTTTTGATAATTGTAGTGTACGAAACTTACTTCCGATTCGTATGAATGAATGTAGGGTATCTGTGCTGTGCGAGAGATGTGTTGCTTGTACTACTTGAGTCCAAGACTATGTTGCACATTTGGCTCCTATCCTCTTTTATTACATGTAAGATCATTAATATATTGCCCGTAATAAATAGCCATTCAGCTAAAGCCTTAATAGAGCCAAAAGTAGCATAGCCATGCAGTTGAGAAGCGAGCACATTGGGTTCAACTCTTACCTGCACAGAAAAAATGTTCCCAGACTAGATAGCCCACGATGCCAATGTGGATATTCGTCACGGAACGTCAAGCACATGATTATGGCCTGTCCCGACTGGGCTATAGGGAGAGGGGAGATACTGAGAAAGGCAGTAGGGGAAAGATGATCTCCTGCCATAAGGAAGTGGACGGTATCCGCACTGGACATACCAGTGCTAGTGCACTTCGTGAAGGCAACACAACTTTAAATTGTATAGAAATTGAAAAGTTGTGGGGATTTTTACCATAAAGGTTTTCTCCTATGTAAATATTAGAGTTCGTAGACACCTGCATGGGCCTTAAGGCGCCAAATCGGGCTAAATGAAATCAAATTCAAATAGCCGTTTAGCTCAATATTTACCCGTGGAATTCGTCCACCTTCTCCACGGAAGCTTCTACCTATAAAAAAAAGAAACAAATTGTAGCAACAGAATCCGTGTGCGCCAGAGAAAGTCTCAAAATACCTGCGGCCCCAGCCAGGCGAGGCCCAGACACCTGGACCACATGAGGTGCTCATGTTCATCTATATCTCCCTTCTTTGTAACAGTCGAATCCATCTTGATCCAATCCGCCATCTCCGTATCGGGTGCTGGGTACGCTCCGGAAACTCATCGGATGGCATCTCCTCCATGATCAAGGGTCGGTGACGAGTAGGGCTCCGACCCTACCATCTGATCTGATCGTGGTTAGCTTCATGATAATGGTGATGGGGGAATGTGTTGAGGGATATAGACGATACAGACCGCGAAAGCGATTGGGAATCCTCATCGAAGTAAGGCCTTTGTTGCTCAATCTCGACTCTGTAGTGAGAGCTGGAGGTTTGAAGTGGACACCATTGACAGGTTTTGACAACAGCCCCCCTCTGTGCTGTGTGACTTAAGATGATACACATCAATATCTGCGTGCGAATCCCCAAATTTCTATGGACCTATCGCACGTCATGGCTGCAGAGCCGTACATGCATCGTATCTTTTTGAAAGATAATTTTGACACTGATCCATGCTGTACCAGGGTCACTCGTAGGTACAAGGCTCGATACCTTTTGGTGGAAGCTGGGATCGACCGCATGTCAGTGGTGTCTCCGACAAATAGCCAGGCTCATGCGAGAACTCAAGGAATATAGGGTCTCACCCTCGTGACCAGTTACCCGTCTTCAGCGCCCGGCTAGACCTTCCGAATGATGCAGAGGGGTAGCTCCGTCTTTGAATATTAGTCCGGGTGTCAATAATTGCGAGGCACCGCGTTCCGTGGGCTATGCAATTTTCCCAACAGCTGTACAGCACCGGTCGATCTTCGCTTTTTTGGTTAGAGGGTAAATTGATGTAAGACCCAAAGCTCTTCTTGGTTTATGATAAACTGAGGATTTGAGGGCTATTAGAGTTAGATGGGACGTTTTAAGGAGACATGGCTTCCTTGGCCGGAACGAAGGGCAGACCTACATATCCAAGGGAGTCTTAGACAGAGAAAAGACCTAAACACCAGATCTAGCAATGATCCAGGCCGACCTGACTTCATTGATCAACAGAATAGACTGGAATATTGATTGTAAGGCGCCTTTCTCGGTGAGGCTAAGCGGTTGGCGAGGAGAACGAGCAGCATGTTTGACGGCAGCCGTGAACTGGTTAGGGGTCTGGCCAGGATGACCCATCCTAATGTAATTACCGACACGCAATCAGTCATCAACAAAAGCAAATTTATCCGCTTTGACGACTTAATCTTAAGCTGTACCAAAATCTAAAAACCGACTAATCGATGTCGTCCGACCCGTGTGGTTATCTCTCAACCGGTCGCATCATTCCAAACTGGTAATTTATCTCTTCATTTAACTTTTATTATCAATGTCAAACAAAAGATCACAGCAGTTGAGGGCTGGCAGCTCATTTGCTAGTATTGTTAGTAATTAGGCCACTGAGCTACTATGCCAGTCCGACAAACTTGTTCCCACATGGCCGGGTCGGATAATAGAGGACGTTGTTCAATAGTGCCCAGTAATCTTCCCGATATTCCTTTTCATCGTTCTTTTTCGCAAGCCACTAGAGGCTTATGGAAGGCCATCCTGAAGTTAGGAAACTCATCAGAGGTCTACCGGCTATGCATCATTAAGTCGAAGACATGACTCACACACTCTCTTTCTCTGCATGAAAAGCTGCGCCATCGCTAATACCTCTATACACATGCACTAGAAATCGCTTATCACGGTCCACATGTACTAGGAAGGCGCAGTAGTGTCGGCGGGCTTAAGGTGGCCGTGAAACCTACGCAGCAGAATCGGAAAATCAGACCCTGTCAAATACGCAGTGTCGGATAACGAAGAGGACAATCTACCCACAGAGTCAGCCGCATAAATTGAACCCCATCTCACGGTAGTTGGTTGTGAGCGACCGTGCCAGCGAAAGAAGTGGGATCCAGAGCCTGCTGGTCAGTTCTTTCTCGACATGAAGATACTAAAATCATCATTACCCGTTGTGCGATGACCATCTGTACCAAAGCTGACCGCTTGAGAAAAAAAAGATCTTGGAGAGCTAGAGTTAGACCTTAAAATCGGCATGGTTTCGGTAACGACGTGAAAAAGTGAGATAGAGGGTGGATTGATCTTGCGCTATACACGATGATTTAGGTAGCGGTTTGTACCCTGATCAGTGGTGCGTGTGCAAGCTGCACAAACAGAGGACTTGCGTTAGCGATAAAAATAAGGAAAATTTGGTTCATCTGCCTGGGCAAGAAATCTTGGAATCTTGGGTAATCCATCTATTTGACGCTTGCAGTGAATTCCTTACAACTGCGAGCATCTGAAACAAAAACTCATCACTACTCGAAATTAAGCGATGTAAGCCCCAAGTACTCTGGTGCTATTGCATCGACGATGTACCACCACCGTCTATGTTGCTAGTTGACAGAAAGGATCCACCTCACTGTCCCACAAGCCACGCCTTCTCGCGTCTAGACAATTTCCACTCTCATGTGCATGTAGCAGTCCAGTGTCGGCAAAGTAACAAACTACTTTACTAATGCTCGTAATTGCCTGAATCACTACCAATTTGATTCAACCGTTAGGTCATGTCATCTGCAATCAAAACTAGTCATATCACTAAAATTATCGGCCGATTCGCACAGTTGTTTCCGTTGGGAGCCGTTGGGAGGCTTTGTGGTAACGGCTCTGTTTGTCAGATGATGAAAGCGAGACTGAAATATATGTCTATATTGTACCTCTTCGATCTCTTCCACCCCAACAGGAGACGAAAATTACAATTAATATCAATTTTTACCGCTGTCTAACAATAATTAATATACAAAATAAGATTAGTTCTGATTGATTAAATATTAAAGCCTCAAAATTCATGAGCATAACTTCGTAATCCCATAACCATTAATGAACGGTCTTATGATTTGATTTCAGCAGAAATCTCTTGCCGAACTGTACTGCACCACTTCCATATTGCATCTTCAAATTCTTTCAGTACTGCCCGGTCGGTAGAATGGACAACACCCATAACGTCAACTTGCAATATGACTTCAAATCGAAGCTCAGCTGCCTTTATCCAGTATTGAAGATTTTCCGAGCATCGATATGGTTTCTGAAAGTCTGTATGCCATTTTTCAATCGCTCCAAATGACCTTTTACTCTTCCGCACCACTGCGTTGTGCAAATTTACTAATCTGAGTCCTGTCCTGAAGTCTCTGAGGAACTCTGTGGGGAGGTCTTCATCTAAGACGTCATCAACTGATTTGAATTCAGGAAGCGTGTGAGGGTTAGGATCCATAGATTGAATAAATGCTAGTTCTCGCTCTACTGGATCACAGGCCATAGAATCATCTAGCCACTTCCAGTTTGCACACTGTGCTCGTTCACTTTCTTCCATAGCAGCTTCCTGACGTAAAATTTCATATATACTTTCAACCCATCGCTTCATTGTCTCAAATTCGTCTATTCTGACACCTGATGTGAAATTACGAGTGGCCATTTTCCTCAACACTTCCATGACAGAGATCATCTCGCTACGAATTTTTCGTTCTGTAGTAATAGATGCAAGCCGCGTAGGCTGATTGTGTGCTGTATAGTACATCTTTGCAGCGCGGAGGGCAAGAGTCATAATATCTAGGACGTGCATACCCTGTACTTCATGCCAACCACCACCAGGAGTATTTTCTTTTTTTGTTTCCATGCTAGATTTACTGCGACGAGATGGTGATGATGTCGTCGAGGGCGAATTCTTATTAAGGTTATCCAAGACTTCTACTGAGTTAGATAAAGCAGTCTCTAGATCGTGGCGCAACTCTTCGAGAGATGGAGGCCGTGGAATGTACTTTTCGCGATGATTGTATGTGCTGACGGTAGGCGGTAACATGTGCGGATGTTCATCATCTTCACTTGTGTAGTCTTCTTCTTCTTCGTCTTCTCGTGGTATATCGTATCGGTCAATGTTATTCCCTGAAGATGTTTCGGGTGAGCTAGCTTCATATTCGGAGTGGGAGGATGATATAAATGATGTGTCCAAGTCTGCCATTTCTGGGGCATGAATGTCTTTCTTCCGAGCAAGTCTTCCTCCTTTCCCATCAAGGAGGCCTGTCCGAGCAAAGTAGTACTGCAGATGTGCTATGCTACCAAGGCTCAACACACTTTCTCTTGATTTGGCTGAAGCTGCAAAGTTTGTTCCTTGAGGTCTGACGTAGCCGCGTCGAATATGTCCGTCTGAGTTCCCAATCGATCGCCGAATACTGTAGCCACTTGCTAATGATGATTGTGACGCCGTGGTGTCTGCAAAACTTGTGGAACTACCAAAAGAATTTCTTCCGGTGCTACATGAATCCATTGAGAAAAGGGAGACGGAAGAGGCAGTTGAAACTGAGCGAGATAGTTCTATGGCGGATGAATCCTGGTGAGAGGATACTTGTTCCCGGAACTCTTGAATTGACTCCATTTCGAGTGTAAAACTGTTGTAGGCGAAGTATTGTTGCGTGTGTTGATGCTTTGGGTTGAAGAGTACCTTGACTTGTTATCGAAAGAGAGGGAAGGCAAATATGCATGAATGAGAGTCCGCGACTGTGGCCTGCAACAGTCTCAGCACCTTGGCAAATGAATCGGCGACTGTTTATATTTTTAACTACTCACCGAGTCGGAAGGTTGGTAGGGAATAAAGAAGAGGCGCCTGACATGACAAGTTCACGGATTTGATTGTTTAAAATTTGAGTGGTAGGCGACCGGTTTCAGGGGTTGAGCGCAACGTATTCTCAACCAGGGGGGCATCAGCCACCTAATCGGGATATCTCAAGCTAGGGGAGGAATGTCAAAAGGGGGGAGGGACGTGAATATTCAAGCCGAGGCGACGCTGGGTCGTTACCTTCATACCTGGATTACAATTCGCTAGAGAGTAGATCGGAATTTTATACCAGTGCGCTTGACGCTCACACGTATATATGTGCACATCCACGCATAACATTTACCAAAAGATCAGTCGTACAGGGAAATTGAGCTAACTTACGGAGCATTTTCCAACGGCTGTACTGAGAAGCCTTCTGTCTAGCCCCAAGTTTCCTGAAATCCAGCGATCTGGGTGAAAGTGAAACCTCTGCGACAAAAATTCACTCAGGCAAGATGGGTTATTCCATCAACAGCCGTCCGCCAATGTAGAAAGATAACTTTAAGGCTAGTGTAATTGAATACTGTAGCTGAAAATTTAAGGACTTGCGCTATCTGTCTTGCATTGTAAACTGGACTACGAGTCTACAATCAATGAATGATTAGATTGTGATTGAGGGAAATATGCGGCCGCGTCCTCCTGCAATTCGCTTAAGAAGTAGTCTTGGTCATTTGAAGCTACTTTTACGGAAAATTATCTCCCGTGCCCAAGTTGCATCACAGACAACTCATCTGCCCTCCTGATAGAGTGAAAGTGTGTTAAAGATCAACTCCCTTCGCAAATGTACACGATACAAGTTGATTTCGTCGCAGCTAGATTCATTTGTTTCAAGATGGGTTGATCCTCAAGACTCCTTGAAATTTGCCAAAGTGTAACGCGAGCGAGGGAATGGTCCATGGTAGATCATAAAGGGGCGAAGTTGTTGAGTAGGATGCAGAAAGTAGCTGGGACTGCCAAGTATTCCTCTTTTTTTGTTTGCTAGATATTTGTCGTGCTACTAGAGGCTACGACTATCTTTCCCATAGAGCTACCATATGAATATTGGTTAAACAAAAGTATACTATTTAGGTGCTGTCACGAAGTCGGTCAATAAAGTGTATAAATGGGGTTCTCGAAATATATATAAAGACATATTATCTTGTATATTGCCATATTCAGCTCCTACTTACAGGGCTATGAGGACGCATGGCCGAATTATGAATGGAAAAAGCTTTAAAGCATCGAAACCCAGAGACCCGCATTATTATTACAGCCTATTTTAATGCCAAGATCCTACCTTTGTACCATAGATTCGTAGATATTACCATTAATTACTCTAACTCCTAGATCAATTAGACTATTTTCAGGTTAAGGTAAAGAAAAATGGGAACCCCTCGTTCGGCCCAAGCCGATATAGTGTTCGAAGAGAAGGACCCGATGATTGCACTTCTGCCGATGCGATAGTTGTTGCCGTTGGGGCTAAGACTTCTTTTTGTAGACGTCCTGGCCCCCATCTTAGTCAGTATTTTTACTGGTAAATAAAGTGAAACCCTTATCATCCGTCACTCCTACTGCTCGAGATGTGGCCACAGTTGGTTCTTTAATTCATATATCCGTTGTTCAGCTGAAGAGTTCCATCCGAGCCTTCTCCGGACTTCCCTTGTAGAACTGGTAGGTCCGACAAGCTGCCTTCTACCATAGACGGCGTTACTTGCCGCAGTTACACAAGAAGCCCTTTTCCTCGGACCGTACCGAGTTTGACGAGTACCAGCGCAATCACCGCACATGACTGTCCTTTCATACAACATCTGCGTGTGTCCCTACAGGCTGCAGTTGAAAAATTGCTTTGGCTGAGCTCATGGTGGCTGCACCTGCGTGGTGAGGGGCATGGCGTTTGTGAAAATGCCACGTCAAAACAATTATCTTCGTATTGTCCCTGACAGAAAGCTGACCACGATTGACCTCTAGTGCGGCAATTTTTCTTCGATCACAAGATTTATTTTCTGCCATGTAGTCATCTAATTGTATTAATTGCGAGACCAGGAATACGATCCTCAGTTACTGTCACAATCTCCTTAATGATACCTGTATTATTTCTATCATTCTCTCCCTCGACTTTTATTCTCAATGGGGCTCCGAAAATATTGTCGGGAAAGTATTACCGCAAGGTTTTAAATTCCGCAAGTTGCACCATGTTGAGTGCTGTGTCTCACTGAGAAGCCGACTGGGCTAACACCTAAATGTCGTTGCTTGGCATTTGTCGAAGCACAAAGAGCCTCTTATGTGATATTTGCTTTTGTTGGCAGCTTTTCTGGCAGTAGGTTTTTTGCATTATCTGATATTATACAAACCACAGTTTTCATTATTTGCGGAGCTATGTCCGACGTGTAGGCCCCTGGTGCTGGCGCGCCCGATACCACTGCAGGAGCAGCTTTTCGAGCGGGATCCGCCAAACTCTTCTTGATGAGCTCCTCCAATACCATCGTACTTTCCTCGATTGGAGACTTGTTTTGGTTCATAGGTGCCCAGGCCCTCTTGTGACAATTGAAAGCTTTGACGGCTTCGTTGACCTCCTCCGTGGTATGAAGTCCTCCTCTTCCTCTACTACACCAATCACTTAAATTATGGCCTATTTTAATAAGTTCTCAAACATCTCAAGGGTTTGATACTTTGCTATTGTCTGCGTTCCACTGCCTTAAGATTAGTTTGCCGTTGTTGTTGCCGCTGTTCGCGACGCGTCGAGACCGCTAGATTTACCTACAACCGTCATGATGTAGCACGGAAAGTTTAAAAGTTGAGCGGGTGTGAATCAGGTTGTAAGAACGATGAATAAAAAATCGAATTGATGTTAGGAGCAGACGTGGAACGCTGCGCTGCTCTCTGGCAAAAATGAAATGCCAAAGAACAAAAGAAAAGAGTGAGATGCTAACTCCTTGCTTCATACGCCTCGCTTATTGGGGAAAGTCGGATTCCTGTCGGGACACTACGAAATGCCAGGCACCGCTATTTTGCTTTAAGCATCTAATGTGTATTCAACTATTAAGCTATGACACATGAACAGTGATTTGTATTTATGATGGATGACTCTTTTGTCGTTAGAGACACTCGTACTCTAGATTTTAGTTGCAAATACTACTATAAATATACTACTGCCTAAGGCATAACAGGCATTTACTCTACAATATGTTACAGCTAAACCATATATACATAATTAAATGATAACAACAGTGGAGACTTAAATTTAAATCAATCAATCAATACCTTTGGTTATCCACGCATGCCTTCGTCATCCATGTATGCTAGTACCGCGAGAAACGCGGGTTTGTTTTGCTGGATTCGAACTAGCGATTTACTGTCTAATATGGTATATGTGTCCAAGTTATCAAGAAACTAGTTCGCAGACCGGCCAAGGCGATGTACCACTGCACCATCTAACCATGGCGCTTTTTCTCGTCTCACCTGCACTCTCGCAACTCAAGTGTTGGCACGCAAATAGCTTAATCCATAAAACCATTAGCCAGCATTCAGAAACTCACCTCTGTAGAGATATGATCTAACGTTAGCATCTTCTTATCGAGCTGTCTAGGTCTCTCTCACGTCTATTTCAAAGATCTACCTCCTAGGTTTGCGCACCAAAATATGTCACCTCCAACGATTATCATATTCTTGTGGGCGGACATGAGGAGTCTATTTGAGGCCAGAGACTGATTCGACGGGAGGTGAAGTCATTGAAGAAAGGATGCACTAGATACTCCTTTCAGATCTAATGAAGCATTCGTGGGAATTAATCTCGTTGGCAGTGAGATATTGATTTGGTTGGGGTTAGTGTATCATTGCCTGGCGGTTGTAACGGCTTGTAAGCAGATTGTTGTGTTGCACGTGATTGTATTCACGTGATTAAATAATAATGTAGTAGTCTAGCTTTATTCCTGATCAGTTCAGCTGTGGCTGAAATATTCTAGTAATTGGTAGCAAGACTGGGAACTACTATGACTGGAATATACGAGAAGCAGATATCAGCAAAGAACGAGTATTCTAAAGATCTTGATAAATGTATAAATAGTTGAAGTATTACTCTGATAGTTAGCCACAGAGAAAATTATAAACTAGCTTCGTATGACTTATTGCCCCAGCATCGACACTCGAACCGTGACAGCGGACCATCCTCTTTGATGTTGCGAACTTTGATAAAACTTGGCTCAGAGAATATTTAATTCCTAGGCTGAGAAAGGACATTGCGGACAGGTTTTCGGTCTTTGCTCTCCACAGAAAAATCAATAATGCCCATAACACATACATATCCCGACACTGACCTAGTCCATAATTTTACCAATTCTCCTATCTTGTTTTGTTACAAAAAAAGAGGTACACGACATGATTCCCACATTGGATGGCCAATTGGCTCAATATTGACGCGCAGAATTCTTGGTATTATTTAATTTGATTTCATTTGATTTTACTTAACGTCCTATGCGGTATCTATATACAGATCCGTCAAGACAGTAAGCCATAGTAAGAAGGGAAAAAGTTTTCAAGCAAAGAAACCCATAGTTCCGTCGCCACGGCACAGCCCAGATTGATGCTGAGGTTGTCCCTTTGTTCCAGTCAAATTTGGTTCACCCCAAATTTTTATTGAAAGGCTATGCTGAGCTGGAATGACGAACCGTTAGGATGAAGGTATGGAAGGAGGTAGCTATGGCTTTAAGAGAAGTAAAGTTCGTGAGTTATACTCTTAGGACTTGGATCAATGGACGAGCTTGAGGATATTCCTTAGTATTCTCAAGTGTGTGAATAATATGGAG